TGTAGGTAATAACCGTTGCATATTTTATTTACGTGACATCAAGAAATAATGATGATTCAATAACGAGTAATATAAAAGCACATCTTAATACTTGAAAAGTTTTCGAAAGCTCATATGTTATTTTTCAATTGAAACAAACAGTACAGTCTCGTTCGTTCAATCGTTTCCATATCCTTTTCATTGCACAATTCAATACACAGTGGAGGGTAAGCGTGTTTTTATTTCAGGCACGCATGGTGACAACGCACTAGCTGTTATCGGGTGTGGATTTATTGCACTTGTTGCACGGATTCTTTCACAGAGCGACATTGTGATGCCACCCGTGATATATGTTAGACTATGAACTAAATGTGCACTGAACACGTAAAGCATCTGTTTTGTTGCTTTTCCAATGGATACGATTAGTCAAAACATTTATGTATTTTTAAAGTGTGTTTGTTATAGGATTTGAAATTGAAAGAAAATACTCCCTAGGATCCACTAAAGATATTAATAATTTTCCGTAGTTCCATCTTTGAGAGTCAAAGTAATACGTGTCTTCTATATTAAATATAAAAATATTATTATAGTAAAATACGTAATAATATTGCCTATGAATGTGAAAGTAGCTCTGTCTATCTGTTTGTTGCCTTTTCACACTTAACACTGAATAGTTTTCGGAGAAATCTGACTCAGACGCGAGCGGATGAGGATGGACATATGCTGCCTTTTAGCGCCACCCCGCATGACATGCATGCAAATACACAGGTAAAAACTAACTGAGTATTACAAAGAAGTCGCTCTGAAGATTAAGATAACGTATAATAATAATTATTATTTTTTGTTTATGATTATTTATTGGCTATGCCTATTTTTATTTTCATATAAACCAAATATCGGCTGGTAGTCTAAAGTCCATAAAGCGATTTCTCCATATATTTCTCATTTAACTGAAAGCTATATTTTTATTTCAGATACATTTGTCGGAAACAGCTCACTAGTTGTTATCGGGAGAGAATTTACGGTACTTGTTGCTCGGATTCTTTCACGCTGCGACCGCGATTGTGTTGTCACAGATCATATCGCGGGCTGTTTGGCTTTATGCAGTCCGTGCTTGACGGTTTTATATGTATTTCCAAGTTCATATTTGAATACTTAGATACAAAATTGGAATTATTAAGTCTCGAAAATATTTTTTAATATGAGTTTTTTATTTATTATTTAAATTAAATTATTATAAAAAAAAATAGCACAAAAATTTTAAATGACGAGGAAAATGAAAGGAAGTAAGTACTACTAAAGTTTTATACAAGTTTCAGCATTAAATACATATAAATTAAAGTACAAAAAGACAAAACGTATAATTAAACAATTACAACGGTCATTAACTGGAAATAAAATAAAAATATATAAATCCTTTTTATTTATCCGTATTCGAACGTAAAAGCCTCCACTTAGGTGTCGATGCTCGCGGAAATCCGACGATCCGACCCCACTTGTCATGATCCCATTGGGCGTGAGGGAACAGCTAAACGGTCCTGCGGTGTTTGTCACAGTGTCTTATTAGTGTCGGGTTCACAAGTCGATTCACTTGTTGCTTCTGTACAACTTACAGAGTTGCGATGAAATTCCGCGATTTTGAAGTGATAATGTTTATTGTCTTTTAATTTTTGATTTTATATTTTCATAATTTGAAGTAATCTTAGCACATAGTACAAAATAATCCTACGAAAATTCAAGTCATGATTAAAACAAATGTATAAATTAAAAGGGGTCTGTGAGTGATATTTGTTACTTCTTCAATTTGTAGCGGTTAAAAGAATTTGAATGAAATTCTGAATTCAGATAGCAGAATAGATATTCTAGTATAGTACATAGGTTATTTTTATTGAAGAACCTTCAATGCGTGCAAACTGAGGGCAAAAACTAGTCTTATTTGTTGATGATGATGATGATACAGGATTGAACCTATAAATACTAAGTCAAAAATCCATTTACAGCTTTATCTATACTAATTTCTAAGTCCGAAGATTTTTTTTTGTTGGCTTTTGTTTTAATGAAGAATGACTACTACGACGATCGAGCTTATTATACTTACATAAATGAAGTGTACGAGCGAAGCCGCGACATAGCATTGGTTATAAAATATAAATCTTTATATTATTATTACATGTTATATCCTATAGGATATATTCACTTATTCAACATTGGCTTCTATTTTTGGTCTAGTTTTCAGAAATGCTTAAGATTTAACTAAGAATAAATTTTAGAGTATCTCTGGTCTCATAATAATAATTTTATAAGGGTATTTATTTACACTTGTTGAATAGTTGGTTTCTCTTGGGGCCTGTTCCGCGGGATGCCGCAAATCCCGCTGCGTGATATTCAGTAGGTTACTGGATTGTGGATAACTTTGTTCCGCTTGTTTTGTCTTATTTACAGAAATAAAGTTTATTTAACTGAATGTTTTTTTGAGGTATTAAATAAGTATCATATATTTTTAATGATTTTTTTACGAATACTAAACATGATATTTAGAATTTATAAAAGTTAAATTTTCTATCATGAACATAAAATGCCATGATTTAATCTCTATACAAGCTGTTATCTTTTAAAAATATTTCCTAGTATTATGTATAAGGGTTAGTTTCACATTACCGAATGAAAAAAATCGGCAGTAGGTACGCCGCTAAGTGAATTTCTCCGAGCGTAGTGCCCACTATAAGACTGTATTCGTATTATGTAATAGCGTGTTTTATCGGATTTTTTTGATTCAAACACCCGTTTTCATATGCTTGTACAAAGGAACACAAGGCATTCTTAGCGGCAGACGTTCACATCAGCATATTGGCTCGTTAGTGCAAGAGACAAATGCACACTCTAAACCTTATATCTTTGATAATAAAAGCTATTTATTAATGTCTATATGGCCCGCACGTAAAATGCAGGCGAAAATGTTCGCAATGTATGCTTTACGTTGAATGTGTGTGTGCCAGACGGGTTACAATAGGGCATTGTTTTAAGTACTTTTTTTGAGTTCCGAATGTTGCCAGCCTTGACTTAATTGACTAACGGAACTCTGCACGGAAAAGGTTTTATATCTGTTTTGTTTTTGTATTTCAATTCAATGAAAATTGTTTTTTTTGTTCTGTCAAGATATATTTACAAAAACCTTATATTAACATATTTATTATACATAAAAAATATAACAACTCAACAAATCTAATGTACGTTGTATGTTTTTACGATATTACAAACAGACTTAATTACAAGATTTAATAATTAAAATTTTAGATATCTTCTCCTACACGTTAGAAATTAAATTAAGTCTAATATTACAGAAAGTTTTCCAAGAAAACTTTATATTAAGCGGAGAGAGTTAAGGTAAGTTGGTCTTATATAAGGATATTACATATTTACGAAATCAATTGAGAGCTATCCCGTAGCCGTTTGTTTCTGTAATCAAAAGAGCAATTTCGACTGCGAATAAAATATTTAACGTCTCTTCGTAACAGCCGTTTGAAAAGTTATGAAATTTTCAAATATCCGGAAATTAAGCTTTACACGAAAATTACAGGAATGCGATATGAGCAGCTATTTGTTATATTCACGAGTTCTTTTTTGTCCATTTTTTGCCCGTATTATGTTTTCATTTATGAATTTAAATTTGTAATGATCGTTTAATGACGACAATTAATATATACAAGTGTATATTTTCTATACTTATTTGAACAGAATAAGCATCGTTTTAAGAAGGGAAAGACATGTTGCTTTAAAAAGACTCGTAAGTAATAATAAAATTTGAAGCAAAAATCTATTTGAATACTACGAAAGAGCCATAAATTAATAAACTTTGAATTAAATTATAACCAAAACAATACCACTATTTCAAAGTTAGAACACTATTGAAACGGCAAAGGGACACCGAAAATGCATAACGAGGCAATAGAATGCATTAATGAAACTTTCAGGCAATAGTTTAGAGTAACTATCCAATAGCGACGGGCGTCCTGACCCCACTCACCCCCACCTTCAACCCGCAATCATAAATTCAATGAAAACTCTAAAGGTTTCCACCTTAATAAAAATATCTAATCTGGCTTATTAAATTCCATAGACAAAAACACTTTTTATGTTTTGGCGCGTAAATTGTATTTTCTATATAAAAAAAAAATAAAGTCTTGGCGTATTGATCGGGGTGCGGCGCATGCGTAAAACAACGAAATTTGCAATTACAAAGTGCTCTGTGCAAATTTCGTCCGAGTTTATAATTCGGAGGTGGCCTTTAGTGGCGATTTTTGCTTCACGATCGTAAGGAGAGGGACGGCATATTGAAAATGTTTTTCAGTAGATGTGCCACTTTTAAAATTCTCACATTACTTTGCATGTAAAATTGTTTGAAAAAATATGGTAATTAAAAATCTTTGACCCGTCATAAGAAACTAATTTAAGGTTTTTTCTCATTAAACTTTCAGTATTATTATAAACAATAAAGTTGGTGATATTAGCTTTTTATTAAGTCCTTGAACTTAAAATATCATCAGCTTTATAAAAGTTTAAGAATAATATTTTAAAAATAATAAATAAATATAATTTAATAATAAAATAATATTTAATGAGTAAAATATTGGAGACTTATTTTATATAGTTTATAGGTAGTTTAGGTACATATTTTATTGCCTTCTATGGATGTTAAATTATTTTAAATAAAATATTTAAGCAACGTACATGAAAAATAAAAGTTAAAGAAAGAGAGTACTTATTATACTTAATTAATAATAATTATTATTTAAGAATATTATCCAATTAATAAAAATAATCAATGTTATATATCATACATTATATATATGCTATGCACCTAATTAAAATGATAAACGATTTCAAAAAAAATATAGGAAAGCCGCAAATATTAATTTTCTATTATAATTAAATTAATGTAACCAAGAATTATTATTCATATTGAAATACGGCAATGAATAGCAATAAACATCAAAGGAAAGTGAAATGAAATGTGATTAAAAATGCATCGGTGGGTGGCGTCCGAATTGGCTAATCAGGCGAACTATCTCAACGTACCTAGACATAGTCTAGGTTTTAGAGTGCACCGCGGGGAGGGTGGTGGACCCCCAGGGGGGGAGGGGGCGCAGTCTGGTTGCCATGGCAACCGCAAGATGGCCTCCGCGAAATTAGTACCTACGTCTGCAGGCTTTATGCGCACCGTCTTCATTATGTCGGATTTCAATTTATTTCCGAATTGAACTTCGGATTAGAATTTGTATTAGTTTTGCTTCTCTAGTTTTGAAAGCTTTGCCTTGTAAACTTTAACGTTTAATCTTTTAATATGTTATTCCATATTTGTTATACAGCACTTCTCATTCTTCACGGAAGTTGTCATTCAGGGAGTTTTGTTTTTATTATTACTTGTGCCATTTTAGATTTATCCGCTTACATTTTTAACAAAATATGTCCTGATCCATAAAATAATATTATCGAACATTTATAAATAAAAAAATACTATATAATAAAAATAATCTCAATATAATAAAAATAAACTACCAATTTTTCAAACTTACTTAGATGATTGAAAGAAAACAGAGTCAATTTATCTAAAGAAATCATCTAAAACCGAAACTGTCTGTTTCATTACATTATAGACCCTAAGACATGAATCTTTAGAGTACTAACTTCCTTTTCCTATTTAAATAAATATTTAATACTGGTCTGAGGTATTTATTCTTCGAGTATTTTTTAATTAGTAGAGAGAGTATTTTATATTAAATACGACAATGTTAAAAGTAAATGAAATTTTTCTGTAAAAAGAATTGTAGCACGACACGTTTGGCTCAGTTTGTAGTGACCCTACTTGATGTGCCAGCGGTCGCGTGTTCGAGTCCCGCTGGAGACATTAATTTTTGTGTGCTGAGCACGAATGCTTGTGCTCCAGTCATGGGTGTTTATATTTTTAAATTGGGTGTAATATTTATTTATTTTTATTTATGTACCATAAAATATATGTTATACAAAATAAAATAACAAAATGTTGACAAAGGATAACTTATCTCTTTAAGAGATTTCTTCCAGAAACCCTTCAGAAGTGAGAAAATAAGTTAATATAGTGCGGTGTAGGTACAGTACAGCATTAAATGGAATTGACCTAATATTATAATACATATATTAACTAAATATTATGATTATACAAATATAAATATACAAATATATATATACGCATACATATATATATACACACATGCATACATACAAACATATATACTTACATAATATATATGTATTTAAAGTTATATAGGTATGTATAGTGTATTGACTGTCTGGTATCCATAACACAGGCCTCGTAGCTTAAAATGCAACTGAATGGTGCTGTGTTAATATCCTAACATATTTATTTATAGCATAGACATAAGGACTAAGGAGGTCAGGTAATAGTTTGGTATAATTAATCTTTTTTAACAGCATTTTGTTGTACTTTGACTAATACAACTTAAACAGAGACTGATCAAGACAAAGTTAGATATTCATCAAAGATCATTGTGAGTCAGAAGTACCTATATCAGTGAGTCACATTGTATTACTTGTTTTTCCTCATTTCGAATTGGACATCATGAATTGGCTTATATATCTCTTGTTAAAAGTAGCCTACATCACTCTAGGGCCCATAAACTACATATCTCTTACTAGTGACCCAAAACTCGCTTCACTTGGGTTCGTCCATAGGTTGATTCCCCATACTAACTTTTATCCTCAATTTCACCACCTTAATGGACATTTTCCGGGATAAAAACTATCCTATGTCCTTCCCATGGTCTCAAACTATCTTCTTACCAAATTTCATCTAAATCTATTAAGAATTAGGAACGCAAACATTATTCTTATAATGTTAATAAAAAAAAAGAAAAATTCACAAATAGTATTTAAGATTGGACATTTTTTTCAATTCGATGATTATTCCTTTGCCTGTCACTATTGTCTAAATTATATGTAACAATAAATACGTATTGTAAATAATACAAGTTTTATTTTCACTAAAATATCAACAAAATCATTCAGTGGTTCCAGAGATTACTTCCTACAAACAAACTCACAAACTAACAAACTTTAACTTTTTATAATATTAATATTAGATTATAAAACAAATGACATCTCGTTTGACATTATTTCGCGTGTTTCATTTCATTACGTGAAAAACAGATAAATTAATAAGAGAACTAAATGTTAGAGCATAATTGAATGCAATAGTATTAGCAAGTAGAAAACTCGAACATGTACTTTCAATAAAAATATATGTTTCATCGAAATATGCATCGAAGTTACTGCGAAGTTTTGTCAGACGGACGACAGCGTTTCCCCAGGAGTTAAAACTTCTTTTCATGCACTGTATTATTAGTTGTGTATAAGCTATTCGACTGTCTACAGCCTTCGTTAAAGGTTGGTACTTCTTTAATAGGATATAAAATTTATATTCTGGATTTTAAGTATAAGCTTCTAACATAATATTACAGAGCTTTTGGTTTTATATTGTAACTAATATCTTGTACTAAATATATTTGTTCCTAATGTCTTGCTTTTTAGTTTTTACTGAATTATTTCGTTGAAATTAGTTTTTTTTCTATTGAACGTATTCATAAATACCTAATTTTTAGGTATTTTATACTTTCATGCAGGTTACTAGGAAGTTACCCTAGCTTCGCTCGGGTGCGTTCCTAGATGCCTAAAAATAATCTACGTATATGATATTGGAATGATGATGTTCTCCCGACCGATTCCGGCCACGGCGGCCAATCTCATTGAGACTAGCCAACTGCGCAGGAGATATTATAGTGCTCAAGTGTACGCGCAGACACAAGTGCTCTCTCTATTCCTGTCACTCTCATACTCCGGTGGGACGACTGCTCAACACGACCAGTGAGAGTTAAGGCGCAGGACCGACGGCTTTACGTGTTCTCCGAGGCACGGGGGTGAAACACCGCCAACTTCCCAACTCCGGGCTATTACTGAGGCTTACTATACAGAAAGACTCAGTAACTAAACTTGGCCCGACCCGGGACTCGAACCCAGGACCTCCGGGTGTGCAGCCGTACATGCTAGCCACTACACCACCGAGGCAGTTACTAGTTAGTTAGAGCTATTGGAATAACCTGGATATGACCTGCATGCAGGTCATAGTGTATCAATATACTAAATTTTGTTATAAAAACCGACTTCCAGGCACTAAAATGTAAAAAATAACTAAACGGGGGTTTTCATTTAGAAAAGATACCTAATCAGATATTTGCGAAGTTGGTGCCAATTGTTAGAAGTAGTCTTAATAACATATTCGATTAAGCAATTTATTTTAGAAAAATAATTTATTTGTTGTTTTTTTTAAAAAGCGCTCGACTAATTTCGATAAAATTTAAATGGAACCACTTTGATAACGGAAGTATATCCTTCGAAAAAATCCAAATCGGTTCAGGTGTGTTCGAGTAATCGGTGAACATACATAAAAAAAAGATTCCGACGAATTGAGAACCTCCCTCCTTCTTTTTGGACGTCGGTTAAAAGACAGATCAGTCGTTTTAGTGTAAAGAAGTAACAAACTTACACACCAACTTTCGTATTTATAATAGTCAGATATTTGTACAGTAGCCGCTTCCTTATATAACAGAGGTCACGTTGGAGTGAACCTAGGATTAATAGTTACTGTAAACACGAACCAGAAAAAAATTGAATTTTAATTTAAGTATTATATAAAAGTTATTTATTATATAACATCTATATTGTTTTCTAAGGCTATGCCTACAATACTAGGGTGCCAATATGTAAGGGTGCCTACATCCCTTGTTTGTAGCGATATACAGATATTTGCCCCTTTTCGATTAAGACTACCGCCTAAAAGCCTCCTCGTACGATGATTGTAGAACACTGATGGACGCATAGCTTCATGAATATATATATATATATATATATACGTATATATGTTTGTATATGGTTTTAAGTAAATATCAATAACAATCAAAAATCAATTAATAACATGATTATCTTTAACAACGTAAAATAATAACGACTCAATTTTCCGATATTATTTTCTCATTTATTTTACAACGCAATGGCGCCTTTAAATATCCATTCTAAGTGCAGGGAGAATTTCATTTAAAATTACAAAATCAACCATTTTTGATAAAATTTTATGGTTGTATATAAGACACAAGATTTATTGTCTATGGAAAATATGTACGTACGTATTCTACATCGTATCGTAAGCGGGCCTTCAAATAATACGTCGTTTTTGTATTCGCGTACTTCCTTTTTCCAAATTACTTGATTGAAAATACATTAGCTGATAGTCTACTGTTGTGTTAGCTTTATACTATTCTTGTCGTCGAATTTTATTTGATCTATGTATTTTAAATTACTAAAAGAAGCTTTATTAAAAAGCTTTCGTGGATTTTAAAATTTAATGATATACTTAATCCCTCCACGACCGCGGACACGCCGGCGTGTCAGTTAACAATAGATTTCTTAGAAATTTAATTAAATTCTTAGAAATTTATCTTGAGGTGTTAAAAAATAATGAGTCAACATTGTTTTGCTTTATAGCTTAGTTTATTTTTATTTCGCGTAATAATTAGTTTATGTAACTCTAGAGTTTGCCCTCTGCTCTCATTGATGAATGTCAGTGATTAGAGCAATTATCTATTTGTAAAAGTTTTTTTTAGTTCTCCTCTACAAAAATAATCTTTAAAATTCCCATTAAAGAAAACTTACTTAATTCAACTCACTTCTTTTGTAATAAATGATGCAATCCCACTTTTATTTTTACTAATATTCGAATGTTACGTGTACAACATATGTACACTAAAATACCATATGTTTACACATGCCCCAATAAAAACGTAAAGCTCTATACTGTACCACCAAAGATACTCCTCCCGCCTCCTTGAGTACTTATTATACACCTTTCTTTTATTTGCTATCGTGTTAGCACCATCATATATAATACCAATAATTTTTATTGATATATAATAATGTTTACTTTCGTAGCTATATAATAAGAATTAAGAAACAAAAATAAAAGTATAGATAGCTTAAGAGGGCGCTAACATCAAAAAACGCTAAAAGAAATATCGTATCCGTAAAAATGAGAGGCTGACACAAGGACAAAGCTTAACAATGAGAAAATTTTCACTCATTGAATTACAATTTGCAATTCAAAATCCGCCACTGAATGAACTACAGGTGGCAGGCCGGAGGCTGTGAAAAGCTGGACCACGATGCGATTTCATCTATAACGTCATTTGCATATCTCGTTTTCTACTGACAATTATTCGAAGAGCTAGTATGAAAACGGCAGTGTACATTGAATTGTGTTTTTAACCACTTGTTGTGATGCACAGGGTGCTAATATTAGTGAATGGCGTTTGTTTCTGTGGACACGCGGGTTACACTTTATTCCTACATTTGGACGGAAAGGGAAAGCGACCCGGTTTTTGTTGATTTATCACTGCCCGACTTTGTCGACCTCGATGATTTGCATCCAGCTGGCAACCTAATTTTGTAATGATAATAGAAAGTTTGTCATAAGCTTTGAATTAGTACCTACTAATTAGTTTCCATATTTGCATATTAAATATTTTTTTTTTATTATGAGAAGTGGTCAATTTCTACTTTAACACTTCCGATTAGGTAATTTATATGAAATTGACAAAATAAATAATGATGTATCACGTCCTCGCAGCTGCTGCTGATAGATTTTAAATTTTTGACAACACAAGATTACAATTATTATAGCTATTATAACAACAAAATTACGTAAAGTCTTCAGAAACGATGTAGAGTAGTATAGTAATAAAATTTCTTCGTTATAACGAAATGCACATAACATTTTAATTTTTTAGGTGTTAATAACAATTAGTCACAAACACATGTTTAATGGTAAGGAAGGGATAAAACAAAAGAAATAAGGAAAGTAAGAAAGTACTCACAGGTGTGGTTGAAGCGCGCCCTCTTCCGCGACCTCGGCGCGACTCGCTCTTGACCGTCTGCAACGTCCCGTCCGGCGCCAAAATAAGCTACAAAGACACACCACAGACTTAACATAAAGCAAAATAAAGTAAAAATAAACAGAACGTTAACACAAAATAAGGGAAAATTAATAGACAATCATGCAATGGATGGGGTTAGATGGCGACAGATTAGTGATTTTAGTAAAATTATGAAGAAATTAATTTGGATTCAATCTCAAGATTTTAAAGAACTCAGTACAGCGCCATCTGTTGTACTTTCACGATGCCTGCTTGGACTAGTTCCAAATAGTTACCCTATCCGGCGCTAGAGGACAGACGTAACAGGATAAACTAAAGTAACGCTTTAACAGAGGGATAGATGGCGCTGACACTTTTGTAATCAAAGATATTTCGTTAATTTTCTTACTAATTTATAACAATTTAATTATGAGTACAGAAATTATCATTTTTTATTTTTAATCCTTTAATTAATACTGGTAAAGAATTTTTTAATAAGGTTTGTTCTCTTTATTACTATAATTTTGATAAATTGCTATCTATATATTTTTTTATTTGTTTTCTATAAGTAAATGTACTAATTTTATTATATACAATTTAAAAAAATTAACGCCTCACTTTAGAATCAAGGTTTTAATATCAATTTTAAGAATATTAAAAAAACCGTTGAAAACTTTAATTAGCGTGTTTTTATATAACTTATTAAGGAAAAAAAACATTAAATGTAGTAATTTTAGATCTATATAGACTAATAAAAATATATATGGCTTAATACGAACAGTTGGGAAATTAAGACAAATGCCATACAAATGTCAGTTATAGATTTCATGTCGAATCGCTAGATAGAACGAATACTCAGATACGTATAAATAAATGTAGTTTCTGTTACGGAGCACATGGCATCAGCTCACACCTGGCGTTTTAGTTCGTTACTCCTGTTTTGTGTTAGAACGCACGACATTTGTTCTGTCTGTCTCTCTCGCACTATTTCTCTCTCCTTATCTATTCCCATTGAAATCGCAGGTTTTGTAATTATCCTTGCGAGGTCAGATGACTTTTTCGTGTGCTCATGATTTAATGAATATTAAACGTCTACACCGTATCAGTGGGTATGACGGTTACGTCGCAGCTGCGTTAAATAGATAAACCGGTTATCGTAAACTTAATTAGAATAGATAAAATGTGAACACCTAATTTTTTTACTGAATAATTGCTGCGTTATGTATTGTTCGCTATTGAATATAATATATATTTCAATACATTTATGTTTATGTACATTGAGAGCTAAAATTACTATATATAATAATTCGACTGGAAATATATAATATCATATTATATTACTATACGATATTATGACAGTCAAAATAGTTATCTCTATAACTTAAGTTTTGTCTTGATGGTAATGTCGTTGAAAATAAGTGACATGACAACAAAATTGGGTGTTTACATTCGCGCCTAAAAGCTCGTTTTACTCTAGCGTGTGTAACGTAATAATGAGAATGTGCGTAATGCGTGGGCCGCTTGTTGGGGCAGGTCGTGACACGCAAACCCCGATTGTTCCATTGATCTAAATGCTCAGAAACAGGAATGTATCATCTCGGACATTGATACAATACAAGTTCTTACATAATAATGACTTCAAACCACTAAGCTCAATGATCTCAACGGTTTCACCGGAACATAGGATTTTAATACTGGCTTAGTATAGCAATTAATTCATAAAATATGAAGATGTTACTGTAAAATATATAGCACTCGAGTATGCAATACAAATTTATATCGCAATTAAATGCCGTTTGTTGTCATGATTCGCTAAATTGTCATGCCATGATGGATGAAAATGGCAGTTATTTAAAATCGGTTAAAACGGCAGGTGTAACGTATAACAAGATAAAAGGACGAGATAATCTCTACAGTTAATCTCTATAGAAAAAATAAAGAGGTTAATTGGAATGTTTTTTGTTTTTTTTACCGTGTTTCAGTTTACGAGCCGTTAGTAAATTATTTTTGCCATGTTTGGTTCCGCTATTGGACGACAGATGGCGATATTGGTTCTGGGAATTTAGTGATGCAAATAAAGATTAATGTAATGAAATTTGAAATAATATTAACATATTATAATACGCGTTTCGAATAACATAATGCAGCCATATGCTTTTAATTCTATAGATGACATGATATTTATTTTAGCTAGTAATTTCAAAATAAATGGCCTATTAAATACAAGTACCTATGCATCTTTATTTTTTAGTGCGTGTGATATTATATATTAAAAATTAAAATACAGTATAAAATTATATACGAGAGCAAAAATAAAATAATTTCCATCTTAAAGTATGAATAGTTGCCGCTGGCTGAAAATATTCAGTCAGCGACGTATACGACGTGAAATGTGATTTGACGCATCAATGTTGCCGATAATGTTAAACCAAGGAGAAAATTGTAACTTTCGATTCGATCGATTTTTTTTAATACATACATTTCAAAATGAAACAGCAAAGAATATAATAGCTTTCATTGCATGTAGCATATTATACATATTTTATTTAGTTTTTAGATCACCACTATTTTTTTATTTTATTTTAGTTATTGACTAACTTTGACTATTAATTAATACAAATATATCTTAAGCTATCATTACCCGCGTTCAGATAACCTAAAACCAAATTTTTAGGTTTTACATATTAGTATACTCTTACATTGCAGTTTTTGTATTTTTTCTCAGAAATGAGATACTTTCCCGCGGTAAAAAGTATCCTATATATTGATCCGGATAACCAGCTATTGCCATACAAAATTTCATCAAAATCCCTCCAGTGGTTTTTCGTTGATGTGGTAACAGACAGACAGACAAAATTCTAAAAACTATAGAATCGGCCTCTGTATCGATAATAATGTTTGTTTCAATAAGATTTTCCCAAAAATATTTAATGTACAGATTCGGTTTAGTTACAATTTTATTACATGTACCTACCCCTAGATATTTTAAGTACTTTAACTTGCAAATTGTATTTCTATTGATTTTAAAAGTTTTAAATATCAAGTCAAGTAAAACTTTAGCGTTGCTACAGTTTAATAGAAGATTTTTTTTAAAGTAATAATTCCATAAAACATTGTTTTCATATAACTTTATTAGTTTACGCGGCGCACGCCAATAAAGCTCCCATTCAGCACGATTATTCCGAAATCTTCAACAATTATCGTCATTTAACACAAAACCTTATTATAAACTTAAAGCTTCCTCAGGAACCACCCCATCTATTTATTGGTGAAAAGTATATCAAAATCCGTTCGGTAGTGTTTGAGTTTATCGCGTTCAGACCGACAGACAGATAGACAGACTCGGCGGGGGATTTTATTTTATAATATGGAACGATTATGATCTGCACTAGATAAACTGTAGGAAACATAGAAACAAGTTTGATTTAAGGGGCAAAAATTTTACATAATTTTATATAATCTCATTCAAAGAAAAAAGTTCAAATAGATTAAAAACGGCTTATCGATCATTTTGTCTACATAATTTTGCATTCAGAGGGGTTTATCAGAGTCCAAGGTTACAGGTGTTATTTGGTTAGCTGCGGCTGACAGCGAGGGCGCCGGGGGCGCAAAGTGATTGGGCGCAAATCGCCCAGAAACTTCGTAAATAACCATCACGTATGTTTAAGTACCTTGAAATTGTTGAGAAAATGTGTTAATTGAAGATTTTCGTTTTGTGGTAAAAAATCACACGATTTTTAAAGATCACGTCATTTGAATGTAAATAGCAGTTTTTTAGATTTGCCGTATAAATAAATTAAAATATAGAGCACCAAATGAATCTAGACTTAAAACCTCATACTTTTGGTTTGCGTGTGTCTAAACTAAGTACCGTCCAAATTTCATTGAAACGCCTGCTAATTTTTGAGGTCAGTACTATAAATTCTTCGCATGTCCTAAAACTAAAAGTTATCCAGTACATCATTAATTTTGATTGTTCTTATTATGTTTATCATTTCGTTTTTGTTTTTACTCGAGGAATACGTTATACTACTGGACTCCTATTAACATTATAAATGCGAAAGTTTGTGAGCAAGTATGGGTGTCTGGATATATAAATGTATGTATGTTTGTTACTCTTTCATGCAAAAAGCCTCTAGTGTATATATAATACTTATAATGTATCTACCTAAATAGTAAAATCTAATAAACTGATAGTCTATCTATCTTTTAAAAAAAGATTTTAATGGAATCTTAATTATCTTCTAAGTTAAGAGAAACTTATGGCAATCTATACATAAAATAAAACTGTAGAGGTCGAATGTTTGTACATAGAAAAAAAAATGCTAAAAACCGAGTCAGGGGGATCTAAGAAGAGAAATAGAACAAATCCAGACTGTTAAAATTTTTTTGTTTCTCTGTCTGTTTGTCTGGTTATCTGTTTGTCTGTTTGTACGGGCTAATCTCCGAAGCTGTTGGACCCATTTTAATGAAATTTTGCATGGTGGTACCTTATATCCCCGGTCAACATTTTAGATACTTTACATTCCGGAAAATTAAAGAGTTCCCGTGGGATAGTTAAAAAATTATAGTAACTTATACAGATTAGTACACAATAACTACTGATTGGATTTTAATGAAACTTTACAATAATATAGTGTAGTGTAGCGAGGGTGAGTCGCTAGTAAATAATAAGATAGTTATTGCAATTTGATCAATATGTAGTTTCAGAAAAAGTTTCTCGACACATTTATACATTTATTATTGAGTCCAATTAATAGCCTCATTTTTAAGGATTACAGATCGCATATTGGGAAGAACTTACACTCTAACTTAGTTACAACTTAAGTGATATTTATAAAATACAATTTTTAAACAGACAATAATTTTAGAAAAAAATATTTTATTTTCTCTACTTTGTTTAAATTCTAATTATGCTTTAATAAAAATGTTACTTAAGCACAAAAGGTTAATATAAATTGTAAAATACTGCAAACAGCAAACGTAATTTGATCGAATATCAAAATAAATGTCATGAATCAATTCAATTACAGAGTGGAATAGTCGGT